CATACATACATACATACATACATACATACATACATACATACATACATTTAAAAAAGGCTGAAGGTTTAAATATGGCGGATTTTTCCTGTGTTCATATTGGGAGTTCAACTTTGTTTCAGTCTGTAAAATTTAAAAACTTTATCCTCAATCAGACTAACTGACTTGTTTGTCAGCATCTTTTCACTGCTGACGAACTTGTACCCAAAGAGCTTCAGTGTCGGCCCACACACTCTCTGTACAACCTGGGCTATTTTGAATGGCAAACTGAACCTCCATTTTTCTACTTGTTCTGAAGAGTTTTTTTGCGTTGAGTAAACGCCGCTGGTCTCTTTCGAAGCCTGGGTGTTCTTCAGAATCCAGGACTTTACCTGTGGAGTGAAGGGGATTCCAGAAAACTTGTACATCTCCGCCGCTTTCCTCATGGGGAACCGAGCGATGTCCTCATACCGCACCAGCATGTAACGACCACGCAGCCAAGGGGGCTGCCTGAGGCCCACCTCAGCCGACAGCCTGATGTTATCACAGTTGCTTTTCAGCTTCCTCACCTCATCGTCGTCAATGGGAACGTCCCCACCCATGGCCCACTCCTTCCAATTCTTGTATCTGGCGGCAAAGGCCACCATTCGCGAGGCCAGCACAGCCCGAGGATCCCGAACCAGCTGGATGAATCTGATGTTGAGCCGTGGGTCCTCGGCGAGAGGACGGAGGTTCTCCAGCTGGCGCACCCTGACCGACTTGATGACGCTGTGCGCCTTTTGGAGACAGGACATGGACGCCATGGTCAGGTTCAGCGGCCCGCACCGCCTGGTTCTGCAATGGTAGCGCTCGAAGACGCCTTTGATGACAGGACCACAGACGGATTCCTCACACAGAGAGCTGCTAGACTCCCTGCGGAAGAGGGAGGTGGTGATGTGGTCCGTTGGGAGGGGGTCGATGAAGCTCTCCAGCAGGGAGAAGTCACACAGGAAGAGCTGCTGCAGCACGTCGCGGTACGCCTTGGTGGCCGCCGTAGCGTTGGTGCCGCCAGTCTCCAGGGCCAACATCTTCTCCACGTGCCACAGCGGCTCAAACAGGTAAAACATGTCGTCGCCATGCTGGTTGAAAAACTCGCCGACGAACGAGGAGCCCGTCCTGGTGGTCGCCAGCAGGAGAATGTGCTTCCGGCCCGGTTTCCTCACCTTCTTGTGCACACTGTAGTTCTCCAGGCGACGCTTCATCAGCAAGAAGTCCTTGCTGGGGGGGGATAAGGAAACATTCTGCTTCAGCAGTAAGGGGGAGAAACCACGGGGCTGCAGAGGGGTCTGGGGAGTCTGCTTCAAGGCGAGCTTATCTGACACCCTAAAAATGGGAGAAAGACCATTGTTAGGCTATGTGATGCTATAGGTTAACAAATTCTGACCCCTTAAGCTTAACCTGACACAGCTGCTCTATGCAGCTAATTGAATTATGCTGAAATATACTTGAAAGTCCTGGAACTGAAACGGACTTACCTTGAGATAATCTTGTTTTCTTTCTCAATGATAACGAGGGCCAAAAAGAAGACAATGGGTATTGTGTATTTGATCCTCATTCTTGGATGCGTCTGTGTCTTGATGTGCTTTTACAGATGGCTCCTTAATAGGTTCTGTCAATCTTGCAGGTCTTCCCTCTTTAAAGAGGCTTGCAGTTATTTGTATTCCCCTTTATAGACAATGTTTCATCCTGTGAAATAAAATGAACATCAACCTGTCAGTTACACATTTTGCACATTTCAAGGCAGCTGTGAGACACTGCTTTGTCTTAGTTCGCTGTGTAAGAACATCAGGTGATATGTGTTTTATCCCATGAAAATAGGGAAGTTGACAGAAGTGTTATGATCGACTTTGTCTAAACTGCACTATGATGCTGAGTCACAGAGGCAGTTACAAAAGACTCATCCTCTTTTCAAGTCCTTTGCCGATTTATTAAGTGTGCAAAGCAGCACAGTAACTTTTTCTGCAAATATAGGATGGAAACGTTTGCTTGAGGATAAAAATATCCAACATAAGAAGATTAGGAGAAAAAAAAAGAGCGTGTTACTCAAGAATCTAATGCAGTCTTTGCCATGAGGAAGTCCTTGTTATCTTAAAGTGCACCAGTGCATTGAAGGAGCATGCCCACCCACCATGCTAGACTGGGGGCTGGTGTACATGGAGACACTGTATTTATGAGACCGTCTGTCTCAGAATTTCTTTTTAAAAAACTAGCAGAAAAACAACCATGAGAGCACACTGAAATGTGAGGGACAGGCTGCAATCAAGCACAATCTTACCAATTAAACTGTAATCCCACAACTGCAAAGCAGCCTGCCAAAAAACTCTCAAGCTGTCTGGCTTAGAGTGATACTCTGCCCCTCACAAATGTAGGCGGCAAAACAGGCTGATGTCCAAAGTGCCAACTGCTCCACCTTATCAACACTGGAGGGTTTTTTTTTTATCTTAACAGAGGGGCTCATTGACTGCCTTGTCTTTCTCAAACAGATAGTCGGACTGACACATGTCCAACTTCTGGAAGGAATAACTATCCAGTGCAATTGAGGGGGAAAGCCTACTTGTCATAGAGCCATAAATTGCAGTGTCCTCAGCCTCGAGGCTGTTCACTTCTTTTCCAAGCCTGTAGAGGACAGGCAGTAGATAATCAAATGACAATAGGGTGGATTTAATGGCACCTATTTGTGAATCTCTTGCACATTTCTGAAAGATTAATGTTAGTTCCCTTTGAAGATAATGGCAGCTTGACTCAGATCCCTTACTAATCTTCAGAGTTTAGCATAATCCTGGCTACCTTGCCTGCCAGTGAATAGCTTAATAGCAGTGCTTGAGTTAATGAGGGAGCCTCCACCAGGAAGAAATTTACAAAGCATCAACAAACTGGAAATGTTAATTGTCCAAACCACGCGGAACACCTCGCTATTTCTTGTACAAGGTACTCTAGTACTTTGCTTGCGCAAAGCCAGGAAAACTAGGTATAAAGCCTGAAACACATGACTGTTATTTTCTGAATTCTGACGAGCCTGGGTGTGTTTGGTTATCTGTATTACGCAGGTGGAGGTCCCATTCTTAGTTTCTGTTTCAACGTCTGTCCTCGGCCAGTTTGGACTACAGAAACAGGTTCAAATGACTGCAGTCTAAACACAGGGAATGGCTGAACACTGCGTGTGAAATTCTCTGAGTGGGTACAGGAAGTTTGCAGCCCCGGCAGAGCACTGTTGACGTGAAATGGCATGTAATGAAAAGGTGAACAGCCTGTGTGCTGAGCCGCGTTTTCACTGGAAGGAAAAGTCAGCTCTGTCTTGCACCACCCTGCCGCATGCCACAACCACAAAGGCTTCTTTACACAGGACTGACTGTGAACCCCCTTTGGGCTGGGATGGTGGAGACACAAACTGCTGGGTCAGTCACACGTCACGCTGTTACTAACTAAAGTCCTGGGATGTTGAAATTCATGTAGAATTAATCTGATGGCACACTGCATCAAAGGAGGGCAGTATTTACTCCACAGGCTGTTTACTAAAACAACTCCACCTAAAGAAATGATAGCAAAAAAGCGTGACATTTGACACTTGAGTAGACTACTACAAGTCCAGTAGGACTAAGTAAGTGTGTATCTCTCCCAATATATGATAGAAAATAAAATGAAAGGTATGTCTCTTCAATAATTCATGAAGAACATAAGTAATCTGATGTTTTGTCATCTATATAATAAATTAGCTGTACACCAATTATCCAAGCTTATTGCATCTGCTGCAGAAAAAAGCCCACATGAAGTGACATTCGTGAATATTCAGAAACCACTGAGGCATATGACACGTTTGATCATCTGCTCATAACAAAATCACCACTGCACCATTTATCATCTCGTTACAAATGCTCCTAATAGCTACCTCTTATTTAATGTAAATCTTATGTGAAGTCAAATTAAATGCCACCCACCCAAGCCCACTTTGCATGAGACAGTTTTAAAAGTGTACACACATGTGCTATATCTTCACGTTTTCATTAACTGATAGTGACCTTTGAAAAAAAAAGGAGAAGAGAGAGTCTCTCTGAAATACAGTACATAGCTGAGATAATAATAAGTTCCATGAACAAAAGAAGATTAGGAATGACAAAATCTTTTTGTAAGTCTCTGTAGACTTTGACATTATTCTATGTGATGTGAGAGGCTGTTATCAGATAATTGTGGAAACATTGTGCATTACCTATTAAACTGCACTGTAATTATTTTGAAACTATGGTTAAGCCAACTCGTTTATTTTTTAATGTAGATTTTACACACTGAAGTAACTGATGTATAATGTAGGACAGCTGGCTCTGAGTAAAAGGATATATACATTTCTATAAAGACACAGAAAACACTAAATTGTTTTGAGTTGCTCAACATACCGAATGTTTTCCATGCTATTTTTAGATTTTCCATCAGCATTTGCATTTTGTATCAAGTCTGCACCTTGGCCATCTTCCAAAGGCAAACAAGCTGGACATTGTTCAACTGTCCATTTGTTTGGGAAGTTTTCTCGTGGTCTTCATTTGGGAGTTTGAGTCGGCTAACTGGTTACTGTCACTGTGGTAACCATAAGTTCGCCTAGTCCATGTCCATATTTCAGGATGTCCTAAAATACTTGTCATTAATGAGCATGAGAAAGAATCCAATTCTGACCATTTCCTTGGCAGTCTACGGTTGTTACAAAGGGGTGAGCGTCCATAAGTGAAAATGAGTAACACATCACACCCCCTCACCCCAGAATACTGTAGTGTGATGTGATTTATTATATGTATCAGATGCAACTAATCCCATTCATTAGCTTTTATCCTACCAGTCAGAATTTATTGGAGACAAATTGTGCATTTGCACTGTAAAAATGATAGCAGAAAAACAATTAAACCAAAACATGTCGTTAAAATACCAACTTCTTGTAAAACAGAAGTGGCGGTGTCGTCTCCAGAGGTCATGTGCTGCATTTACAGCTCACAAGGGCAAATTAAACGCCCTCATGATAAAAAAAAAGACGCACGGGGAAGTCACAGGTGTCTCATCTGTTGTGATTCTACTGTTGCATTTCAGCTTTAACGGGTTGGTATTGAGTCGGTTAACTGGTTACTGTCACTGTGGTAACCAGCAGTTCGCCTAGTCCATGTCTATATTTCAGGATGTCCTAAAATACTTGTCTTTAATGAGCATGAGAAAGAATCAAATTCTGACCAAGAATCAAATTCTGACCATTTCCAGCGCTGTGCTACTTATGAACCATCACTCATGTATGGACAGAACAGTGTCCGCTTTGTACCAACCATTATGAGCCGCGCTGGCTGAGGGTGTCCCGCTTTCCATCCACTTGTTCAACCTCTCCTGAAAGTGCGACTCCTGGGAGATATTCCATTAGGTTGCTTATCCAAAACCACCTTACTTGAGTGTAATCAAACAATCCGACCAAAAAGAAGTGGCAGAAGAAGTTTCATTGAATACAACACGTTGATGAAATAGAATCATGTTTAGTAGGCTGCAGGCCAGGCTGTCCGGTGAACTGACAAGTTTGTCCAACAGTTCTGACTCATTGACTCACGCAGGAATCTCCAAAGGAGCGGAGCTTAAGGCTGAAGGCGTCCTGGCACAGCTCCACAGAGACCCTCTCTTTAACTTTACTTAAGTATGCACATTAAAGTTTACAATGTTTGGTGAATACAGGGGTGTTATTCCAAAAACGTCCATTAAATGTAGTAGTTTAAGGACCAATTTAATGTTTATTTTCTCGAAGACTTTATGCTCATAAAAGGACAAGGGCTCCATCTAGTGGACAAAACTTCAACCTGCATGTAACAAACGTCACTGTTCAAAGAAAGACACAAACTTAATATAATATAATATAATATAATATAATATAATATAATATAATATA